GGAGGGAGGGCGGGCGGGAAATGGGCTGGCGGATGGAGGCAGGAGAGGGATGAGAAATGGACTGAGAGCCTTTAGCAGAGTTGATGGAAGGGCTGTGTGCCGGGTGTGACTCCACACCCCGCTGCCCAGCGGCCAGAGGGTGGGGCGGCCTGTCAGCAAGATTTACAGCTGGATTACACGGGCCCTGTGTGCTCTGAGCCGTCGAGTTGTAAAAGTTCAGCAGTCTGAGCGCGGCTTTCTTTGGCTTGGCTCAGGTTCAGGATCATGGAGTCCTGCTGTCCTAATTGAATACGTGTTTGTTGCTGGCAGGGAACCCTGAAGGAGGCTTTTACCTTGGTGCTGCTACTAGTCCCAGGCTGGGGCAGAGAGCGGTGTTATGGTCTAGTTAGGGACAAAGAAGGTATGAAGTCCAGAGATGAGAAGACTAGATCAGCCCTCGGAAGCAGCAGTGGCCACCCCTGGGCCCGCTGGGAGACGAGTCTCTCCCGTCTGCAGTGCCCATGGGCTTTGATGACTCGAGTAGGAGATGATGACCTGACTAAGGAGGAGCCACGGTTAGTTATTTAGTCCTGGGCACTGGTGCCAACCTCCTCTACGCTGTGAGGCAAGGAGGCACCTCTGTCAGGGGCTCCCCAGGGTCAAGAGTGGCCACACCGGACGGCCCCTTGGAGCAGGCCCCAGGATGATGGCTCCACTCTTGGTCCCATGGGATGGCATCCCACTTTGAGTTATAACTTTGTCCCACTTCCAACCTCGTCCAGGCATTGTGTGTGTTTTTTTCCCCCTGGGGCCAGACTCTCCCATAAGCCTGTTAAAAACAGAGATGGTATCTCATGTGAATTTTGCTTCAGGAGCTTGGGATGCAGGTTGGCATATTGATTACAAATCCAGCTTAGACATTGGGCAAGAATTTAAAAGAGCGTTCCATCCCTACTCATCTTAGGAAAGAAGCTCGGTTTAACATGTCAGTTTTATAGGAAGAAAAAGTATTCAGTTCTTAACCCAGGAAAATGCTAACTTTGAATCTTGGATTCTAGACCCTAACATGTTTCTTATGAAAGACAAAACAATTGGGTTCTAAGGCTCTCCCCTTCCTCCTCCCAACTCCCTCATTTAAAAAAAAAAAAAGTATTAGATTGTGCTCTATAATTTTGCATAAAATCTGCCTTCCATGCATCTCCCACTGGAAGGCATTCTCAGTGCTTTATTTCTTTGTACCTCTCAGAAAGTAAACTTTTTGTTAAGTTGCTTAAACCCCAGGACAAAATAAGGCATGGTGTGGGGGAGGGAAGGTGTAGTCAAGGGCGTAATGAAAAGGTGGCTTGAAGCTGGAACTTTGGCTTCTCGATATCGCAGGTGGGTCAGTGGCCCCCACACCCCTGTGCAAAGCTGAGCAAGGCGATTGGCTTTCACACTGTCCTGCAGTAGACCTTTGGAAGTTCGTAGTTCGTGAATGAGGTCTATGAACTGTTGCCTTGTGCCAGGGAATGGACGCGTTTTCCCAAGGGGGAAAAAAATGTCCTTGACTTCCGTCATCTTTTTGTATGTCTCTGGAAAAGGGCCAGAAAGCTGTGGCAGAAAATGAGGATTGTAGGTGAATATATTTCCTTTCGTGACAAACCTTATGACTCACTAGTCATGCCATGTTTTTCAGGGGAACCTTGTGATTTGGGATCTAATCTAATTTTGGGGAAAGAAGAAAAGGAACTATTATTTATTATTTATACTCACGCTGTGCCAGATACTGTGCTAGGCATTTTATAACTGTCTTGTCTTTATAATCCTCCCAACACCCCCATGCGGTGAATCTATGCCCCCGTTCGAAGTAGTGTATCTATGTGTAGAATACATCCACCCGACATAAATGCCCATGTCGAAAGAAGGAAAGATGTTCTAGTATTTTCCCAGTTTCTTTAATATTAATGCCCTTTGCAACACTGTGAAAACTACCCCTTGGGGGCATCTACCTTCCAGAATCTCTCTTGAACTCATCAGCAGCTTGGTTTCCCAGTGCAGAGCGTTTCACTTGGCCTTCCCATATCTGATTAGCTGCACAGAAACCAGGAGAGGCCACTGGCTCATAGGACATTTGTACCCAGAAGGAAAAGGCTTTGGGAATTCAGGCACATGCCTCTCCCTCAGAACTTTTTCCGCACCTGGAAAAGGAGCCTGGTACTTCTGCAGTTAGATACCACACGCAGCCAGGACAGGCGTCTGACTGTGCGCGTTTCCCTGGTCCCAAGGCTTGCTTTGTCACAGCCTGCATCTTTTTAAGGTGAAGAGCTTTGACTTTGCCCAGAAGTTTGGGAAGATCTGATCTCCAGAGATGGAGGAAAGGCCTGGACCATTGACTTGAAATCCTTTCTAGGGCTCTGTCTCTTTCCGATTTTGAACTGGGGAGCCTGTATTTTCCAGGTTGAAAACCATTGTGAATCTCTTTCGAGACCTTAAATGTTTGGGATAGTCCTGTAGTGACTTGGACATCATTTAAATAACTTGTCGCAAGGTCAGAAGAGCCCAAGAACTCTCCAGAGTTCCTCTCCTTGCTCCTAAAGGCACATCCTTTAAAGAAGATGACTCACATCTCCATAGGAACTGTTAAAGGTGCTGCCTAGAGGGGACCCATCCCAACCCTCACTTATTTAGCTCGAAGGAATCAAAAGGATTCCCTTGTATAGAGGGGGTCCTATGACCAGTTTTCCTATGAAAACTGTCCCAAGATTCTGCCTCTAACCTGGTAACTGTCAGATTCATTCAGCATAACTTGGGAAACGGCTCTTGTCTCTTGGAAGCCAGAGAAATTGCTTTAATTCAGCAAGATTCACCCCTAAACCAAAGGCTCCCTTCTAATACTGTCTTTCCACTCTAACTAACCCTGAATTCTCCCTTCTTCCCTTTCCAGGGGTTATTTTTAGCCCAAGCCTTTGAACTTGATTGAGTAAGACTTAGAGGCAGTGAAAAGAACACTATAAACTCAGCCAGAACTGCCTTAGGGTCCCTAGGGTTAAAAATAGCTGTGGAGCCTGGGGGGCCGCTTGGCCTCTGCCCAGAAGTGACAGAACAGCCCCTGGTTTCCTGGCATCTCAGCCCAGACCTTCAGGGACTGTTCTTTCTCGACAGCCAGTCCGGTGAGCGGTGAGCGAGGGAAGTTTCGCAATAGATTTCAAGCCAGCTTTTCTGTTCAAAGGAAGATGCAAATTCATTTTAAAAAATCGTATCTAATTTTCTGGAGCAGAACCAGGCAGCTGTCTTATTAGGGCTCTAAATTTGGATCTATTCCCTTAACACACACACACACAAATACATGGAGAAAGAAAATGTAACTACTTTATCATTGCTATGGTCCAAGGAAGAGCTGTGTTTTTGCCTTTTTCTAGTCTCTAAGGTAATGCCTAGGGAAGTATCAGATCAGTTAACTATAATAATACCAAAGTGGGAAAAGCTAGTGGTCACTCTTGCAAAAGTTTGAGTTAGACTCGTGTAGGAGGACAGAGGTCTAGGTCTACCGGTCATCTCACCTTGTGCCCCTCTGTGCCAAGATACCCTGCCACCGGCACATTTGCCTCTAGCCTGGATGCTGTTGCTGGTGTCCTTGCCCCACCCCAGACACATGAAGGACACATCCCTCAGGATACGCGCCAGGTCCAGTCATATACAACCACAGCGCTTCTCACCCTCCTGTCGTCCAGTGTGGCCTTGACTGTGGCATTTCAGCCGCTCCACTGGGACGCTCCGACACCAGTGTGCGGAGTCGGGGCCCCTTCATCAAGGTTGTCCCAGATGTAGCATGTGTAGCATTGCCTTCCTCAGTGTCGAGGACTCATTCATTCAATGCAGTGTTTATAGGGTGCCTGGGATACTCCAGGGACGGAGCTAATCGCCAGCAGCGCAGTTAAACCAAACACAGCCCCCACCCCTCCGTCAGTTCTGGAGACAGTGTGGCAAGTGCCACTGGAGGGATAAGTACTGGGTGCTGTGGGAGCGTCTCCCATGGCAGCCACCCAGCTTTGGGATCGGGGGGCTTCCTGAAAGAGGTGATATCGAAGCCCAGGTTTGTCAGAGGACTTACAGAGAGTGTTGCAAATGGCCTTCCAGGCCGAGGGGACAGGATGGGACTCACCCAGAGGAGGGACAGTGTGGGCTCAGAGCCTGCTTGCAGTCAAGTGGCTGGAGCTGGGAGTTGAGGAGGGAGAGAGAGGTTCGAGGCCAAGGCACTTAGCCACCCGTCCCAGAGGGTCCCATGGACTTGGCTGGGGGCTCGGGGAGCATAAAGAAGACCTGTAGGTGATACTCTGCCCTGTGAAGCAGAGGTCACTGCCAAGGTCACCCAGAGGGGTAGGCGTGGTCAGCATCGGGACCGGGTGTCCCTTCCTCTTTGTCGAAGCCACATTTCTTGCTGAGATGAGTTATTCTCATATAACCCTCACCCCAACTACTTGTCCTCTCTCCAAAAGCTGTTTGAATTCAAGGGCTTTAATCCAGGCTGGGGCTGGGTTAGAGACACAGGGACAGCTCTGGGTCATCCTGGCTTGTCTGTAGAGCCACCA